CGCATGACTCTATTGGACCTCCAGACTTCAGTAGCAGGTGATTGAAAAAGTTTCAGTGTTTAATCTGATTGAGCACCTGTCATTTTATCATCCTCAAAATCATTAGTATCTTCTATCTCAACATATTTGAACACTTAAGTAATTGATTTGCACTCTTGATTTCTATTATTATCCTTGTATATCACTATTTTATTAAAAATAACATTTGCTCCTGATGAACTTCTAATTCTAATAATCCCAGAGTTCGCACCCAAATTCATCTGAGTCATACCTAATGAAAATGCACTTGATAGATTTATAGTCAAATTTACTCCTAAACCCTACAACAACATGAACATATACAAAACAACCAAATATCTTCAAGTGAGATAGATTTATATATTTGTCACTCTGGGCCTCTTCATATAAGTCTTCCTTTAAAGGTACTGATGAACCACAATTAATCATATAAACAACAGTGTTTACTGCTTATGCTCAGAGCAACTTTGAAAAGCCCGTATGCAACTTCATACTTCTGGCACACTCTGTGACGATTATGATCATGCACTCAAATACTCCATTCTGCTGTAAAATCCTTGGAATAGTGAACTCATGTTTGATGTCTTTTGATGAACATAATTCATGAACCTCTATTCATGATACTTGTCACCATAATCTGATCTGAGACACTTCAGCCTCAAGCATGATCATTCTCTATCATTGTCTTTCATTTCTTAAACACCTCAAATACATTAGATTTATGCTTTAAAAAGTATTCATACCTTCCTAATCTGATCATCTTTGAAAGTGACAAAATAGTGGAAATCCTCAATTGACTGAACTGGAGTAGAATCTTGCACATCAACATGCACTAACTCTAACTTCTTTGACCTCACCATTAACCCTTTTCTAGAGAAAGAAACTTGCTTTTCTTGTCATAGATATAATCTTCGCAGAAATCTAGATCAACAGATTATAAAACCTGAAACTTACTCTTTGAAAGTAGGAGTTTCATACCTTTCTCGCTCATGTGAATAAGTCTGTGTTGCCAAAAACCTGTATCAATTTTAGTTTCAACCATATTAATGAATTTTTCCATCTTATTAATCAAGTTAAGAGTGTCTTCAATGTTTCCCTAAGCGATCACCATTCCCCCCTAGTCACCTTTCACGAATCACCTATCAAAGTAATCACGAACCCTGCCTTTGTCAATTAGTTCACCGAGATCAGATTTCTTTTTAGACTTGGAATATGTCTAACTTCATTGAGCTTCCAGATTGTATTATTTGGCAATTTGATATCAACCTCACCCTTTCTTACGATAGTACAAGTCTTGTCATCTACAAATTAAATCTTCTCTAAATCACTCAAAGTGTAGTTTTTAAACATCTCTTTATTGAAGCATGCATAAAATGAAACACATGAATCTATTATCTAAGATTTAATACTGACTAAGAATAAAGCCAGGAAGTCGCATTGGATTTTGCATGAGAAGACAATTGTAGAGAAATTCTTTTATTGGCCTTAAACATCAATCTTCCTTAGAGCTTTACAACCTTTCTTGAAATGACATTTCTTCCCGCAATTCCAACATTCACATTTGTCATTTCTTTTTCTTGACCTAGGCTTTCCTCTATTGGACTTAAATTTGTTTATGTCTGTATTATTATCCAGGTTCCTTTTTCTATTCTCAACATTTAGGGTCTGTTTGGGGCAGCTGTAGTTTATCCAACTTATACAGATAAGTTGTTTATCCTGATAAGTAGTTGATCCGAATAAGTTGTCTAATTGTTTGGTTTTTGCGTTTAGGAAACAACTGATTTTGGATATATGATCATTCTTCCCCTGAAATAAAATTATAAACATATACCAATTTTAAGAAAGCATAAGTAATAGTTGGCATCCTTCATGAAATAAAATTATATGTAAATACTCATTTGCCGGTGGGAATTGTGGCAGCTAAAGGCATCGATCGAATTTGCTTTTAAAAAAAAATTATACCTTTAGGAATGAAGCTCTGGTGAGACGTCAGATTTCTGTTATTTGACCTTTAAGAAGACAGACCTGGTCTGTCCACTCTTCAGAAGATAAATCCAATGTGCCTTTTTGGCCCCTCAGTGAGGTCAAAAAATGCACCATAATTCTAACAAAAGAGGGAGAAAAATCAAATTAAATTATTTTTATGAGAAAATTACCAATCAGAAAGTCAATGCAACAATTATGAATGCTCACAAAATTAGTTTCTCTCTTCCTATATTCAAACAAATTACCTGCAAACCAACATTTGCACTCAAAAGATCAATTTTATTGCTTCTCGAAGAGAAAACAATGGGCTTATCAAATGAGACGAGAGGAGACGAGAGGGGCATCGGTGCGCAGGACGGAGTCAAGCGAGTCCTCATAGAGAGGAGAGGCGAGGAGACGAGCGGGGCTTCAATGCGGCAAAAAGGAGTCAAGCGAGTCGCCATAAAGAGGAAAGGCGAGTCGAGCTTCGCTCGGGAGAGGAAGGCGAATGAGCGAGGGCAGGCCGTGGGGCATACGTGAGAGGGAAGGCAATGTCTTTCGCTCCATTGAAACGCGGATCACGGGCTCCTACCCGTGATTCACGTTTAATAGAAACCTCTGAATGACGTTTCTAAAAACACCACTAAAACACATTAATCAAACAGCCGATGGCGTTCTCAAAACGCCTCCGCTGTGAATAAGCTCTCCCAAACGCACCCTTAACACAACTTAAAAATTCATCATTCGCTGTCATCTTGCAAACTGCTTCATTCAGCATTAACTCCATGATATCATCGAAGTTCAACTTCATATTACTTGAAGAGTTACTCATCCCAGTGAACAATCTATCACAAATGTCTAATGAGGAAGATAGAATTAACAATACCCTAACCTCGTCATCAAACTTGATGACCACAGAACACAAGTGGTTCATCACAGTGTTAAAATTTATTAAGTGTCAAGCCATTGAATTACCATCCACCATTTTTATAATGAATAATCTCATAATCACAAAAACCTTATTTGGCGCTGAAGGTTTTTCATGCATCTTTGTCAGTGCCATTATGAATCTACGGTAGTTTTCTCATTTACTATGCTGAAAGTAACAGATGATAAAAGTGAAAGAAGGATCAAACTTAGGGTTGTTCGATCCAGCACTTCTATTCCTCCAGAGTCATCTATTCAGACTTTTTGATCATTCTTTCCAATGGCAAACACATTTTATTTTTATATAAAAAACCTTCTACTTTCATTTTCCAGAATGTAAAATTCGATTCATTTAACTTCTCCACATTGTACTTCGCTTTGACAACCATTGCTCTGACTAGAATCAATGATATTAAGAAAAAAAGCCTCGCATTGAAAACTTAAGATTTGATTGATTCATAATCAAAATCACAACGCGCAAAACATACCAATTCGAGAAATCTAGAGCAATAAGTTAAATAGATGCATACAAATAAATCTAAAAAAAATAAAAAGTTTTAGCATGAAAAACCCCGAGAATGGGAAAACATCACAAAGCCACACCACATAAAACTTTTTACTGTGAAAGGCAGATATTACAGAATTACATAACTCAAATCTACTCTCTACACCACTGAAATTGCAATGATTTAAGCTCATTCCTCTCTTGATCTCACAAGAGAAAACACTGGCCGAAATCCACCATCTCGACACAGACGTCGTTCCACGCCTGTTATGCACTGTCAAGAATACACCACGAGAGATATGGGTATAAACAAGTTGAGTGGAGCTCAGGCCACCCTCGGCTTGAGCTTCAACTTAAGCTTGATTAATTCTATTGAGTTTGAGATTAATTCTATGTGTTCAATCCAGCTTGTTTACTATAAAGAGAGAAACTAATATTAATTTAAGGTAGTGTTATAATAAAATGATAAATATATTGAACAATTAGGAGAATAATAATAATAAATCACTTAATATAAAGTACAAAATATTAATTTTTTAACATTTTTAATACTTTAAGGATAAATTCTTCAAATTTAAAATATTTTTAGTATTTATAATAATTTTTTTTAAAGAGCTAACTCACGAGCTAACGAGTCAAGTCGGGGCTAGCTTCAGCTTGGTCTGTTAGCTCATTGAGCTTAGTTTGGGAGCCACTTATCAAGTCGAGCTCGAACCAGCTCACGAGTCGGCTTGGCTCACTTGTATCCCTTGCGAAAGAGAGTAGTAATCTTTCATAAAACGATTTCTTAAATCCCTAACAGCGTACAAACTAGTCCTAATGCCAAAGTGCCACTCCTGGGCACTACCTTTCCGCTCGCTCAATTAGATGTCAAGAATCTGGGCTCTGTCGCATTCAAAATGGGTTTCACCCTCTTTGTATTCATCTGCAGGGGTGCCTGAAGTTGGTGTCTGAGTGACACCCCTTTGGATCCAAGCACCATTCTCTTTGGATCCAGGCGCGCCACCCTGATCCTAGCGCCTGGGCACCTAGGTGCCCCCTTTGGTGTTGGTGTTGCAGCTGGCTTCATGTAGGTTGTGACTGTTATGCCAACAGCCTCCGCACTCAAATGAAGGATGACAAATTTTGTTAGGGATTTGCAATGGATCTTGAATTAGCTTGAACATGGCACAATTGTAATTACCTAATCCATACCCCGGTGGCAAAACTTTTAATATCAGAATACTAGAACCTTCCTACTTCTCTATAAATAGACAGTGGTGTACCCTTTATGAATTACTGAAATACAGAGAGACAGCAACATATCCTTTATACTCTTCTGCTTCTACTTATTCAATTACCGCTTCCATCATTGCTCTAAATATTAAAGATTTAAATGTTATTTGTGTAAATATGAAAGTGTAGATATTAGCTATGTAAATGTATAGAATAATGTTTATGTAGGTAAATGACTCTTATCAATCCATACGATAAAATCCAAGTCGCTAAGTATAACAAGAGAAAAAAAAAAGCAGCATTTATACCCATACCCAAACTAATTCCCAAACTATGTAAATAAATGGACTTGATCAAAATCAAACCTTGCTGCAATAGGTTTCATGTCTAGTTCTGCTAAAAGGAAAGTTGCCGCAGAGATGTCTTGGATGTGGAAAATCCCTGAGAGCCACCTATTTCGATCACAACCATTAGAACAACTAAAGAATAACATAAGCCAATAGTGAAAGAGGACTGTTCCCTCCGACGAACTCACATGCCCCTTCTCGGAAACAATGGCGACGCCGTCGTCGTCGGAAGTACTGATTACAAGCTTTCTGGTGAAATCGATTGCATCGATTTCATAGCAATCGTCGTCGTAAGATCTGATTGCAAGCTTTCTGGTGAAATCGATTGGATCGATTTCATAGCAATCATCTCTGTCGCTGCCTTCTTCCTTAACTTGAGGAATAGCTATTTTCACGATCTCTTTCTTAGCGTCTTCCTCCTCCATCTTCGAATCGAAAGCAGCACCGAGTCCCAAATGAATGGGCGGCCGTTCGTCGGAACTTATAAAATAAAGAGTTTACAAAACGGCCCCGCGGACTTGAAAGGTCTCATTAATTAAATTTTTATGCTCTCGAAGAGCATTGAGTAACCTCCTCGCGCTGAACGAAGGAGTGTGCAGTAGATACATAGGAACTTAGGTGTTAAATATGGAAATACATAGGAATTGAGTGGTATGTATGAAAATCTTCCAAAAAGATTGCGATACAACATAACACTCAATTCCTATATATTTATATATCTAACACCTAAATTTTGCATTTTATATCTATACCACTGAAACATTTCATATTATATCAAAACTATCATCATTTATCGCATATATATTATGCAATTCTTATATATTTATGTGGTATCACTTGAAATTTTACATTTACATGTATAACACTCAGAATTTTAATATCTCAGTTAAAAACACTCCATTATTAAACTTCTTAAAAGATAAATATATTATTTCATAGATATGTTTATGAGCCAAAGTGTGATAATTATAACTATCAAATTTTAAGTGTTAGGCGTGTAAATACGTAAAAATTGTGTGGTATGTATGCAAATTTCCCAATAAATTAGTATTAATAATTAATAAACTATAACTGGATCTAATTTAGCCAGAATATTTTGAACATTATTTAACAAATAATTTATGATTCTTCTAATATACTTCAAAATTCTCACACTTACATTTTTATCATATCATCATTCTTTCTCCTAAGTTAAGAAAAAAAAAATCCCAAATATACCCTAATCACGTCAAATAAATAAGAGGTTTTTAAATGGGCGGACCCAAATAGACCATTTTATATATTCCGCACCTAAACAATGTTGTTTACAATAAAAGCACCCGAAACCCCCCAAATAGCCACATAATACGTCTTTGTCCCTTTTTGTCTCTTCTTCGCTTCAACTCAGTTCGTGGGAGATGTCATACGCAACAACGTTCTTCAAAGACGTCATAGCTAGAGCTTGCAAGCCCTATACTCGACTCAAGTGAAGCCCAAACTTTGGATCTATTTGTAAATCACCTTTGTGGATGGTCAATTTAGGTGAATCCCTAGCTTTTATTTTTTTTTTAGTGTTTTTGTTCTTTTTCATATGTTTGATTTTAGACCATAGAAGAAGACTTATCATGTTTTTTGTTAGTCAAATTTCCGCTGTCAATATCTTCATACACATGACTTGAGAACATGTTAATACATAAGAATTGAGAGGTATGCATGTAAATCTTTCTTATTTATCTGAAATGATCATGTTCCTATCTTTACATGTGAAAGAGTATTCCATGTTGCTAGTCTTATTATTATATGTACCACCCAATTCCTAATTATTTAATACCTCAACAAAAATACCATCAATTTTAAGTCTTAAAAAGAGAAGTGTATATTTTCATGCATAGTTAAGGTTGAATGTATGTAAAACCTGAAGTTTATGTTTTAGTCCTGTACAATTGTATGCATGTAAATTTTGAAACTAATTATAATAAGGCCAAATTTAGTAATTGCCGGAAAATAAATGTGCCTACCAAATTACTTGATGCTTCTATAGACAACTTTACATTGATTTGAACGTTATGCTTGTAAATATGAAAGTTTTTGAGTGAGATATGTGAATAATGAATGCACTATAATATTGTGTTAGGTGTCAACCTAAGCAATATTTTACATATCTCACACCTACACTTCCATATTTACATACGTACCACTACAACTTTGTAAACCTATGCATAAAAATGTGTATTTGACCTTTAAAAATTAGAAGCATAACACGCAAAACCCAAATGTTTAAATTTCGGTTTGAGAACTATTGAGGCTATGTTTGTGTGTGTGTGTGTTAATTTTTTTTAGAGCTGCATAATTATGTTTTTCAAATCATCTATGATGTCCTGATATGTAATTTATCATTTTCTTTAAATTTATGCTAATTTTTATTGATTTATGGCTTATCATATTGTAAAACATGTGTTCAACACACTCATCAAGTTCCCAAGGCAGTAAATTTCCCAAAGTATTTTGTAAATACAACTTGTAATGCACGATGTTTACAGCCCATAAAGGTTGCAATTATGGGATAAAATTTTATAGTTGTCCTAGATATTGTGCAGAACTTGATTACAACTTCTTCAAGTGGATTGATGAAAGAGATGATGCACCATCCGACAAAGAATACTCCGAGACGAAATACTTTTGAGAATTTATCTATAAGAGGAATCATGAGGACAAAGAAAACACCGATAGAAAATACTTTGGGAATTTAGATGAGAAGAACTAGAAGGAATTAAAATTCTTGATTTAAATACTAATAGTATCACATTTTTTAACCGTTGGAGTTGTTTTGTTTGTATTAATGTATCTTCCTATTTGATCTACAATCAATGTATTAAGAAGTATGGATGTAAAAGGCCAAAGTTGTAAAGGTAATGTTATATTGTGTCTTTTGTACAAGTATTGCACTATCATGTTTGAGTTTAATCTAATGAAAATATTGTGATTTATGTAAATTTATGTGAATATTAGATTGGAAGTTATGTTAAAGTCATAGATTATGTGTTGGTTAGCTATTAAATAAAAGTTGATAGATAACAAATAATTTGATTATCAAGAGTTTTCAGGTGTAAATAGCGCACTAAAATCAAATGTAAACAACATTATTGAAGACGAGTTTACCTTTCATTGGAATGACGTCATCTAATAACTGTCTGCCTTATTACTAAGAAACTTGAGATGGACTCCTCGAGTAGTAAGTTATGAATTTGGAACTTGCAATACTATGTTCACCTTCATGCCTTTCTTGACCAAAACATTTAAGTCATTCATAAGATAATGTAATGTGGCCAACTTTAAAGACATTTTCTTAACAGCAAAATTAATAATCAGAATCAAGCATACTAGATATAAAAATTCAATTTTTTACACTAGTTGTTGAAGAATAGCACAAAATATAAAATTTTATGCAAATATGGATTGCAACTAGGTGTTGAAATATAGTGTAAAATTTTCTTTCCACCCAAGACATATTTGATTCTATAATATGCATATAAAAGTACTAAAGACATTCATCCATTTCAACTATGTCCGAGTCTTCCCTTCGAATGGGCATTTTGCCCCTGAAAATAGGGTTACTTGTTGTGGGTGGAGCATAGAGAGACAGTTTCAACTTGTTAAATTTACGACATTTATAGACCTAAAAGATTTTGCATGTAATTTAGTGATGCCCCCAAAGTCCGCAACGGCTGCATTTATGAATATTTGTTTGTCTTCTATTATTATTTTTTAAGCAATTTTTAAATCTTTTTTTTTTCATCATTCCTATTGGCCTCAATGTGTTTGGCACACCAACATATATGCCCTCATCGACTTTTCTCTATCCTTCTTTTCCTAAAAAAGTTGAAATAGAACCTTTGCAGGTCATCCTATACCGACAAGTTCAAAATTAAAAATTGAAAATAGTAACATAAAATATAGATATTAGTAAACATTAAAACAATAAATTCAAAACTAATAATATGATAGCTGGAGTGAACATAGCTATGCCACAGAGGGTGCTCCTGGAAACCGATAAATACTATTGTATGGATGCACAATAGACCAATTACTTGCCAAACTTAAGTTCTATATAAGCATTATGTCTACCATTGTTACCTTCGACCTCAGCTCAACGTGGTGTAAATTCCCTTATAAGGAAATGGTCTTTCTTCGTGGTTATATATCAAATGTAGTCTTCAGCTTAGGAAATTAATTCCACTTTCCAAGCAGTTGCATCTCTCTTCCTTCAGTTTTTTGTTGCATGAGCATAGCTCTAATCATGTCAATTAAGTCAACAACAGGCTTATTTTGGGCTTCTAAAATCCAAGAATTAAATTATCTGACATGTTATTTGTATTAGAATGATTTCTTATCTCAAAGTTAAAATCACTTTTATGCCATGTGTAAGGTAAAGCAAGCAATTAGTAGTGCATTTTCGAAGAGACACTACAAAGTTCAACTATCTTACCATCAAACTCGGGTTGAGTGTATGCATTAGCTGCTTACCATACGAGGCTTTTAACCATATGACTATCATTACAAAGAAAATATTTCTTCAAAAGCTTCCAAAGATGTCGTAAACAAAATTTTATACTCCGCATCAGAAAAAACAATCTTAATGGCCTCTCCCAAACCCTTCTCCATGTTTGACATAAAGGTCATATGTTACAAATCAAACCAAATAGATGCTGACACCATTTCCAAGTAATTTTTTACTTAAATTCTGCAACTATGAAGGCTAAAGTGAATAAACAGTTATCACTATCTAATGAAATTGCAATTAGTAAACCACTCCGATATTTTAACTTCAGATGAAATGCATCCATCCCAATCAGAGGTATGCAACCTGCTAGGAAGCCATCAATGCAAGCATTAAAACTTACAAAAAATCTTTTTAAGGAATAATCAAGACTGTTACAAGTGTAAGTAATATATGATCCTGAATTTCTGTTAATAAGCCTGGCTTGTAAGGCGGATACTTAAATTTAGTTATCATATGCTGATCTAAAAATATTGTTGTGAGCTTTCTCTCGTAACTTCCATAACTTTATGTATTTTAATGATAAGTCATACATATTCATTAACATGTATTTGATATTTTTAGGAATGATATCAGGATTCTTTTGAACAACATCTTCAATTTACCGCACCACCTAAGATGAATTTTTCACTTGTTACCCATCTTATTCACCTCGGGGCATAAGTGAGTTACATAAAATTTTCTCACTTCAAAGGATGTATCATCTGCTATAACTGAAGTTCAAACTCTCCAAGGGCATCCCCTATGTGAACATATGACTATAACTCAACATTTGTTAAAAGATTGATTTTCACTCCAAAATTATTCTTAATGACATAGGGTCGGAGATAATTTTCAAAAGCAAGAGAATCATTAAAAATAACACCAACCACAAAATTTTCAAAATCTCCAAAATTGTTATTATAAATCTCAACTCAACTTCTCCTCTTTGAACTTATACTCATTGCAAAAGCATCAACATCACTTGCAAATAAGTTTTAATTCTTTGATGTAACTCCAATAATATGATAATATTATTCAAACTGGTGCCCACTTAGCCAATTACAAATCTTTTTAATCTCCTCTTCTAATGAATGAAGATTCAATGCATTTTCTCGAATTTTCATAGTTCTCTATTTATCCCCATTATACTTCTTCCTTTCTAGATTTTTGACTTAGTTCCACTATCCACCAAACTTAAAAGCTATAAATAATTGTTGATTTACATTAAACATATCCAAAATTTGAAATGATAGCCATTGCATCGCAATAAACAAAATCAAGGCTAGACAAACAAGTAAAACATTTCAATGATCTATCTTTGGATTATAAAAATTAATTTTATGAAAAGAAACATAATTCTCTCCATGTTCTATGTTCATATACATGAATAAAAAGTGATGAAATCTCCTCAACAACCTTAAGAGATAATTTAACTGCAAAAGAGTTTTCATATCATCTTGAATTACAACAATATAAGTTAATATTTTCTGTAATAATTTATTTATATAATTTCATTTACGTGAAGCTATTATATCAAAATCTAATGCACGATGACTAGTTTTGTAATTTACTTGTTGCATCAAAAGCTAATGCAAAACTATTGCATTCCTTTTGGATGATGAGATAATTTAAATTTCTTAGAAATTTGTGGAAGAAAAATTACTTTTTAATGGATGGAATGTTCCCAATGCAAAACTGTTACATTCAAAATTACATTACAGTTCATTTGTAATTACATAAGAATTGTGTTGTATGTTTGTAAATGTCTCTAAAACTTTAGGTGACATTTATTTTTTGAAAGAAACATTAAACTTTAATATGTAATGTAATCACAACAATTACTCACATAAATCTACAACACAATTCATGTATCAAATGAAATTTGAATATATTAAATCACACATGTAAATTATCAAAAACAATAAATATTCTTATTAACTCAATATCTTAATATTACCCATCTTCTTTAAGCATCAAATTACAGTCACTTTATCTAAATAACTCCAACAATACTATTTACTTCTTCAATGAAGGAATGCTACACATCCAAAAATAACTTTATGCTAACAAAAAATAATTATGCTCTGAATCAAGAATACTAAACTGCAAATATTATAGGGAAGAGGAGAAAATGAGTTACAGATTGATTGGCTTCAGGGACCTAGTTCCTGCTACACAATACTAATTACTACTCCAACGAAGGAAGGTTATACATCCAAAAAATCACTTTTTCATATTTATTTAGACAGTTCTTTCATAATGATACCATTTAGAGGGTGGCTTTAGGATCTCAGTTATTTATCTATAAAAATATGTAATAAGACTGTTACAATTTTCCCTTTCTAGAAATAATATCTTCATCTTTATGTTTTCAATCAAGGAAATCTCCCATTTCAATTTATTTTGTTACCCACAGAGCCTTCAATGATAGTCTTACATTGAATTGTCAACTAGTCTTGTGAGGTAGTGGAAACAGATCATACAGCTTTTATAAATGTTATCGCTGGATAATTTTTATTTACACAAAGTTGGGGTATTCGGCTCCAGTAAGCTTTATTTGTTGATATAGAGGAATATTTCACATATTTACATGTTAGTACAATCAAGATGTTTCTAAATACTGAGAAGAGCAATTAAATTGTTATCCGCTCTTCAGTGTGTTTAAACTTCCATCTTTTTCCTTTTTTTTTTGAGTTTGTAAATCAGTTGGAGAAATTTTGCTTAAAAAATGAACAATATATTGATTAGCATCACCTAATCACAAATCTAGAAAAGTCTCTTCTTCTCACCATGAAGTAGAGTAAATAACACCAAACAAAAAGCTATTTGATGGATGGAAGAAACTATCAAACTTTGAAGTCAGTGACTCAATCAATTCACCCAAAATAACACCATTATGATTGAGCCTTCTCAGGAGACTCCCAAAAACAAGGCGGAAGTGAGGTCATATCGAGAAGTGAGGTCATACCTATTTCGACGTAAGTTTTTCTTCTAACGTGATTCCTCCTTACAACGCTAGTCAAAGCATCTGCAGTGAGATGCTCTGTAAATGAAACAGTGATGGCTTCATTTTTTTTGTTCACGAAAAACCTCTCTTGTGTGCTGAGTTGAAGTGAAGAAGACGGAGGTAGACGAAAGGCGGAATACGCGGTTATTTTGGGGTTTCTGGTGCTTCTATTGTAAATAGCAATATTTAGGTGGAAAATATATAAAAAGGTCTATTTGGGGTGTTGCTGATGTAAAAATCCCTTATTTATTTGATGTGATGTGGGTATATTGGGGATTGATTTTTCTTGTAAATTAGAGGAAAGAATGTTGATATGATAAGAATATAAGTGTGAGAATTTTGAAAAGTATTAGAAGAATTATTATTTGCTAAATAATTGTTGAAAATATTCCATCTAAAATAGATTTAATTGTTTTTTATTAATTATTAAAACTAAGTTATCGGAAATTTGCATACATAACGCACAATTTTTATGTATTTACATGCCTAAAACTTAAATAGCAAACTTTTCAATATGTCTCTTTCCACTTTCTAACATGTTGGTATACAAATTGTTGGTTTGGTCTTCTTTAGATGTAACTTGATCTCCTTGATTGAAACCCTAACAGAGATGGATTTAATCATCCTCAGTTACATCACTTTAACACAACGGATTTAGAAACATAAGTGAAATTATTCACCCATCCAAATCATCTTTTAACAACATGGAACCGAAAACTCAAGAATGTGAAACAGTAAGGGTGCAGAAAATAAAACACTTTTTAAGAAGCTGAAAGAACTTCTATACACAATGCAGTCAAAGATAAAGGGACACTCATCATGAACAAATGAAGACTTGCAAGATCACTTACATAGCCCTGGGGTTGAGGGATTGGTTGCCTTAGTAAACAAGAGTTGCTTGCGTACAACACTTGAAATCTGCTAATGATGTAAGACCTATTATAAGTTGTTTAGTTAGAGATACTCGGTGGCGTTAAGTTATATTAAGACAGAGTTGAAAGCAAATCCATTAGGGATATAAGACTCATCCTAGATTGTATAATTAAGGATGCTCGACAAAGTTAACATGTATTAGAATGGAGTCTCAAGAAGAATCCATTAAGAATGTAAGACTCGTTCTAGGTTGAATAAAAGGAGCATTTGCTCAATGGTATTAACATGTGCTAGACGAAGTCGTATGAAATATATCAAAAAAATTTGACCTATCCAAGGTTGTTAGTCGAAATTTCTTCTTGCGTCTGTAACCTGTGATAGAATAGGTCAAATAGAGTCACCTGGGATTGACTAAGAAAATAATGAGGTGTCAAAAAATATTTTGTGTTTTTTGAGACTAGGCGTAGGTCGAAATGGCTCATATTCTTTCTTGGAAATACAGTTGCAACCATACTCAAGAATGAAGTTTGAAAACATGCTAGTTGTAGCTTCTGAATTAATTGTCCTCTGCAAGTGCATTTTCCACGTGAGCTTGTAAAGCAGTTCATATATCATACCTTGAAGAAATCAGTGTTTGATCTAATTGAAGAGCTATAGCACAGTGAGGGGCGTCGAGGAAGCACGATTGCCCCTAATCTGGAAGCATTTTTTAAAGACTTGATGTCTGAATGAAGGAGTAAAATAACTACCCTATCACATTCATGTCTGGGACGTTAAGTTGAACTATCTTTTGAGACTATAGTGAATGTTGCCCCCATCTTGAAAGTAATTTTTATAGACTTTCTGTCTTAATAAGATGTGGGAAGACTACCCCATCATAATCGTGCACAGGACGATCTTTCAAGATTGCAGCGAAGCTAACACTCCCAAGCACTGCCTTTCCGCTCACTTGGTTTGAAGTCAAGAATCTGGGCTCTGTCGCATCCTAAATGGGCATCTCCCTCTCTGGATTCAAGTGTTGGGGCGCCTGAAGTGGGTGTCTGGGTGACACCCTCTTTGGATCCAGGGACCACCCTCTTCGGATCTAGGCGCCACTCTGATCCTAGCGCTTGGGGGCCTGGGCGCCTGGGTCCCGCTTTGGTGCTGGTGCTGGTGCTGGTTTCCTGTAGGTTGTGACTGCTGTGCAAACAGGCTCCACACTCAACTGAAGGATGACAAATTTTGTTAGGGAATTGCAATGGATCTTGAATTAGATTAAACTTGGCACAATTGTAACTACCTTATCCATACCACGGTGACAAACTTTTAATATCAGAATATTAGAACCTTACTAATCCATAAATGGACAGTTGTGTACCCTTTATGAATTACTGAAATGCAGAGAGACAGCAACATATCCTCTATACTCTTCTGCTTCTACTTATTCAATTACAGCTATGTAAATATGAAAGTGTAGATATTAGATATATAAATGCATTAGAATAATGTTTATGTATGTGAACGACTCTTATCAATCCATACGATAAAATCCAAGTCGCTAAGTATAACAAGAGAAAAAAAAAAGCAGCATTTATACCCATACCCAAACTAATTCCCAAACTATGTAAATAAATGGACTTGATCAAAATCAAACCTTGCTGCAATAGGTTTCATGTCTAGTTCTGCTAAAAGGAAAGTTGCCGCAGAGATGTCTTGGATGTGGAAAATCCCTGAGAGCCACCTATTTCGATCACAACCATTAGAACAACTAAAGAATAACAGAAGCCAATAGTGAAAGCGGACTGTTCCCTTCTACGAACTCACATGCCCCTTCTCGGAAACGATGGCGACGCCGTCGTCGTCGGAAGTACTGATTACAAGCTTTCTGGTGAAATCGATTGCATCGATTTCATAGCAATCGTCGTCGTAAGATCTGATTGCAAGCTTTCTGGTGAAATCGATTGGATCGATTTCATAGCAATCATCGCTGTCGCTGTCTTCTTCCTTGGCTTGAGGAATAGCTATTTTCACGACCTTTTTCTTATCGTCTTCCTCCTCCATCCTCGAATCGAAAGCAGTACCGAGTCCAAATCAAAGTGCGGCCGCTCTTCGGAGCGAATAAAGGGCTCATAACCCGGAAAAAATATTCGACTCCTGAAGCAGGCCAAATTTTTTAGGTCCGGAGTCAGCACATACGTATTCGTCTGCGGGTGAGATTCACGGAGGAAAACAAAAAACAAAAAAAACGGACGTAAAAAGAGCTCCTGAGGCACAGCTCCGAGTCCACTTCATATGCCGACACCTGCAAGCAACATGAAAATAATAATAAAAAAAACTAGTGTGGAAGAATATTATTCTTGTATTATTCTATATTATATATGTGTTATTATGGTGTTATTTGTGTGTTATTGTATTCTGAAAATATTCTCGATATTATGATAACACAATAACACATCAATATCACCACAATAATACATGAAAAATGTGAAATAACACAAGAGAAATATTCTTCTATATTATCGGGCCGGATCACAAGAAAGCGTGCATATTTTCTTGAAATCACGTGTTCGCATATGAGTGGACTCCTAACGTAGCTCTACGTTAAGAGTCCGGATGTAATATTTTCCCATAACCCGCTACTTGAAAGGTCTCATTAATTTAAATTTGTATGCTTTCCAAGAGCATCAAGTAACCTTGTACGGGACGCTAACCTTGTAGGGGACGGAGCTTTGATCTCTACTCCAATAACATAGCATCAATTAGGGCTGTCAAAACGGCTCGTTAAGAAGCTCGTGTTCGACTCGTTTTGGCTCGAAATACTATTCATCTTAATAT